GGAATGTGTCCCTGCGGCTGGAGGCCCTTCAAGAGGGGGACTCTGGGACCTACCGCTGTTCTATCAACGTGCAAGATGGTAAAAGCCCAAGTATGGGCCACAGCAGCAAAAGCATAGAGCTCAAAGTGCTGGGTGAGTAAGAAGGGCACATCTCTGGACCCCCCACCCCCCACCCCACCCCAGCACAGGGAAGTCAAGCAGGTCTTTCTCTCAAGTGGCTGATTATAAGACCTGGGGATGAAATGTGGAATACAACAAGCTGGGGAAGGAGAACCTATGGGTCCTTAACATATGGATTTTAACCTATCTCCTCTTCTCTAGTTCCTCCAGCTCCTCCATCCTGTAGTTTACAGGGTGTACCTTATGTGGGGACCAATGTGACCTTGAACTGCAAGTCCCCCAGGAGTAAGCCTACAGCGCAATACCAGTGGGAGAAGCTGGCCCCGTCCTCCCAGGTCTTCTTTGGACCAGCCTTAGGTAAAGGAGTTTCTGGAAGTCACTGAGATAGTAGCTGAAGATGGGCAAGGATGAGCGGCACCTCACAGAATGGGGTGATAAGGGCAAACATTACAGAAGAAGACATGGAAAGAGGGTGAAAACGATGTTATGCTAATAGGTACTGTGCCCAGTGCTTCGGAGACTCTGTGTACTGTTACTGAGGTCTGGGGCTAAACTGCCTGCTTCAAGTTCCAGTCCTGCCACTCTAGAACTTTGTGACTCCGCTCCCTTTCTCTTGCTTGTAAAATGAGTTATACATACCAGCTATAAAAAATATTTGGGGGGCTGTGTGTGTGGGTGTATATGTGTGTGTGTGTGTGTAAGACAGAGAGAGAGAGGGAGAGAGGGAGGGGAGAGATGCTAGCAATTGAACTCAGGACCTTGTGCATGAAAGGCAGGAAGCCTATGCCCCCCCCCCCCCCCCCCCCCTGGCTTCATTGTTTTTTTTTTTTTTTTAGTTAGAGTCTTACTATATAGCTAAGGCTGGCCTCAAACTAATGATCCTTCTGCCTTACCCCCTTGAGTGCTAACACCACTAAGTTACTCAGCAACAGGAATATTTTAAATATGAAGCATTAGCTGACTTCAGAAGATCATTACATCTGAGGCTTTGCAATGGTTTTTGATTGTCTAAAACAACAGGAGGTTTTTCTTATTGTTATTTGTTTGTTTTCTTTTTTCTTTTTGGCTTTTGAGACAGGGTTTCTCTGTGTAGTCTTGGCTGTCCTGGACTCACTTTGTAGAGCAGCTGGCCTCAAACTCACATCAATCTGCCTGTCTCTGTGGGGATTACAGCCCTAAGCCACCACACCTGGCAGGAGTTTTTTAATTTTGTTTTGTTTGAGACAAGGTCTCATTATGTATTTCTGGCTGTCCTGGAACTCACTATGTAGACCAGACTGACCCTATAATCACAGAGATCTGCCTGCCTCTGACTCCCAAAGTTCTGCGATTAAAGGGGTACGCTTCTAACTACACCCAGCTTCATGGACATTGTTTTTGAAGATACATTTTAAAGTATTACTCTTATATATTCGAAACAAGATGATGATGATGATGATGATGATTATAGTGTGTGTGTGTACATGATAGGTGTGTGATCATGGTCTATGCTTGATGACAACTTTATGGAGTTGGTTCTCTCCTTCCACTTTTGTTTGTGTTTTGGGGGGATTAAATTCAGGAGGCCGGGCTTACATGGCAAGTGATTCTCTCTGTAGCCTTGGCTGTCCTGGACTCACTTTGTAGACCAGGCTGGCCTCGAATTCACAGAGATCCATCTGCCTCTGCCTCCCTGAGTGCTCGGATTACAGGCATGTGCCACCATGCCCTGCTTGATTACATCATAATTTAAAAGGGCTCAGTGGGTAGGTTTCCTGGGAAGTCTAAGCTAGTACAGAGCTGAGCTCAGGCCAGGTTTCAGCACAGAGTCAGCAGAAAGGGTCAGCATGGTTAGCCTATACACTCTTCTCAACCCCATCAGGTAAGGAGACCTGTCCCCATTTTACAGATGAAGAAGTGGGGACCCACAAGGGTCACATGGACATTTGGGATCCCAGCTCTTCTAGTTCTAGTCAAATGTTCTTTCTGTCCCCTCCTACCCTCACACAGCCTTTCAGAAACAAATGCCAAAATGGTGTTTTGGTTTTTCTGTGTAGCACTTCTGTTCAGAGAGCAGTTGGGATCACTGAGTGATGGAAAATGGAACAGGCATTGAGCTAGCCCATCTGCAGAGCCCAGAGTGTTGCCACATTCCTCCTACTCATGAGGGCACAGAGAAGCAGTGACTACCAGGGACTCAAAGAGGACATTTCAGAAGTAGGGCATGGTATACATGCTTTAAATGGAAAAGTTGGTCTTTGGACTGATAGCTAAATTGTGTCCAAAGATGCTGTCCGTGGATCCTTGAAGCTCACCAACCTTTCCACTGCCATGTCTGGAGTCTATGTCTGCAAGGCCCAAAACAGAGTGGGATTCGCCCAGTGCAACGTGACCCTGGAAGTGATGACAGGTCAGTGAGGGGTAAGTGTGGTGAAGAACTCTGCTCAGTGGGTGGCTTCCCAGGAAAGAAGAAGCCTGTCTGCTGGGGCTTCTCATCGACACATGACAGGGAATTGGACTTGGTCGAAGGCACAGACAAATGTTTGGTCAGTGTCTGGCCATTTCCTACTTGGCAGCCCTCTACTCCCATCCTAACAGAGAAGGGAGAATGTTATGGTGCGAGTGGGGTAGTAGAACTGGAGTGGATAATAAAGAGATAAGTGTCCCCTCTCTGACAATAAGGATTTCTCAGGGTCTAAAGCTGCAGTGGTCGCTGGAGCCATTGTGGGCACTCTCGTTGGGTTGGTGCTGCTGGCTGGACTGGTCCTGTTGTACCAACGCCGGAGCAAGACCCTGGAGGAGCTGGCCAATGATATCAAGTAGGTATTCCTGGTCTTTGAGTAGCCGGGAACTCTTCTGGCTTTTTTCTGGCATCTGGGGATTCAGGCCTCTACCACTTTTTAATGGAAAGGTGGGAAGTAGCTGTAACAGTATTCCTATGGGAGGATTTAAATGCAGAAAGAAAGGGAGTCGGTGTGTGTATTGTAAGACAGGCATGTAGAAACTCTTCTCCCTTTTCTCCTTCTGACATGTTACTTATTTGATGACCAGGGAAGATGCCATTGCTCCCCGGACTTTGCCTTGGACCAAAGGCTCAGACACAATCTCCAAGAATGGGACGCTTTCCTCTGTCACTTCAGCACGAGCTCTGCGGCCACCCAAGGCGGCTCCTCCAAGACCTGGCACGTTCACTCCCACACCCAGTGTCTCTAGCCAGGCCCTGTCCTCACCAAGACTGCCCAGGACAGATGGGCCCCCACCTCAGGCAATATCCCTGAGCCCAGGTGGGGTTTCTTCTTCTGCTCTGAGCCGCATGGGTGCTGTACCTGTGATGGTGCCTGCACAGAGTCAGGCTGGGTCTCTCGTGTGATGGCCAGGCACTCACTCATTACCTAAGTCTGGTATCTCACCTTCCTGTCAAGGTCGCCTGTGGCACAGAGGACTGAATCTTGGGAGGATACCCACACTCTAGACCTTCAGCCCTTTGCCCCAACTCCTTTTAGTGCTGGAATACGGGGCCTCAGTAAGACCAAATCCAGGACAAAAGAGAAAAAGGAAATGGACCTGAGATTGGGGTTTGGGGGTGGGTAGGCCCCACCTCTTCCCTGCTTCTCTCTATGAAGCCAGAGAATGCTGCTGAGACTGGCTCCCTCCAAGAGCTCCGGGGGAGACTGCTAGTCAGTGAGGCCCCTGGCTCTGTGATCTGTACAACACCCTTATCTAATGCTGTCCTTTGCCGCCCACTCCAGCTCCCTGTATTAATATAACCTGTCCTGCTGGCTTGGCTGGGTTTTGCTGGAGCAGGGGATAGGGAAGACATTTTAAAAACTAACTTGAAATTGGTGTGTTTTGTTTTGTTTTGTTTTCATTTTGCAAATTTCAATAAAGATACATTGTATTTGCATGGACAAGTAATCAAATCACTTTTTGCTAACTAAGGCCTCTCAGCAGTTGAGTTGTAGGAGGCTATGAGGTTGTGCATCTGGGAGCCTTTACACAACTGGCTTATAGTTCTTCTAGAGTCTGTAGAAGGATGGAAGGGTCATTCACTGTCATATGGAAAGAGAAGGTGCCAAGGGTCTGAGGCTGAGGAGCCCCTCACCTAGTCTGAAAAGCAAGGAGGTGGTGATGAATGGGGCACTTGCTACTGGAACTCTGGAGCTCTGGGCTTTGGTCTCCATGCACCCCATTGCTCTTCCCCTGCAGAATGGAGGAGAGGAACCTAACTTGTATTTCCTTTCCCGTGCCACGGGATCTTTAACAAACATACCTTCCTGCCTCTTGGGTAGCAGTCCCCTTTGTCGATTGAAGAGAGACATAAGATGTCTTGCAGGTTGATTCCTAATACCACCCTTCTCTTTCCTACCAAGTGTGGGGGCTTCAGATCTCAGTTTCTCTGTCCCCAGTGTCTCTGGGAATGGAGAAGTGGGTATAGTTTCCCTGGAGAGACTCTTACCATAGCAAGTGGTGGGAAGAGAATCTCTGAAGACTCCAGGACAGCTTAGCTCCCAGTATGCATGCTTGCCAGCTCCCAAGGTGACATCATTGGCCAGGCGGTATCAGAATAGCTTCTCCTCTGCTAAAGACACTTCCTTTCCAGAGTTCCGGTTCTGAACCCTTGTCTTTAGGGTGCCCACACCAATCCAGCTCCTTCCCTTGGCCCCAAAAGCTTTGGAAATTGGGGGTAGGAGGAGGAAGAAGTATCCCAGAATCAGGCCTGAGGGAGGGAGGAGCATTTTCCTTACCTGAGGGTGCCTGCCTTTGCCCTTGTTTGCTTTGAGATAGCCAGTCTCTCTCCTGCCCAACAAAAGGCGGCTGCCCTTCGGGCTTTCCTAGACCTAGCGCTCTTACGCCCTCCAGACCGACAGACAGGACGTCAGGACCAGGAGACCCTGATGGCCATGGCTTGGGCCCTGGTGGGGGCTTTCCTCTGCTGGTCCTGTCTGGGCCTGAGTGGTGAGGAGAGGCTGGGAGGGTTGAACCAAGGGGAAAGCTGGGGGCAGGGCAGGGCTGCTCAGGCCTGCTCAGTACCTGCAGCCAGGAGCCACTTTGCCAGGCTGGGAAGGGGGCATCGAAGGCTGGGAGAGTGGAGCGGGGAGGCAAGCTAATGGTTTTGGCCTGTCTTGTCTCAGGATTTACCAGTGCAGGGCCTTTTCTTGTTTCCTTCTCTGGCAATACATCCTCATACCTGGCCCAGTCTTGGACCTTTTACCCGAAAAAGCCGGGTTGGGCTGAGGGCTCCTCCCTCCCTGAAACCTCAAGTTTCAGGAGAGAAGGGGTTGACCTGAAGAAGGGGGTTGTGCTGTAGCAAGGGAGGCCAAGCCTCTAAACAGCCACTTTTCAGATCTGTGGGATTGGGGTCCTCAGTCCCAGGGCTAGCTGTGGAGGTGACTGTGCCCACTGAGCCACTGAGCATGCCAATGGGCAAGATGGCCACGCTGAGCTGCAGCTACAGCACGTCTGTGGGCGACAACTTTGCCTTGGAGTGGAGCTTTGTGCAGCCTGGGAAGCCTATCTCTTCATCTGTTCCTGTGAGTGGAGGGCAGTGTGCCTTCTGGGGTTGTCCAGGGACTGAGGGCTCACCAAGGGTGAAGGTGGGGAGAGGGCCTGCAGTCTGAGCCTTCAGTCTGTTTGGCCCTGCATTCCCCCTCCCTTGGGTCTCAACTCCCCTATGCAAATGTAGCTCAGTTCAGTAACTTAAGTTCACTGAATCGGAGGTAGTGTGATAGTATACTGTTCTGCCCATTGTTACGAGTCTGAAAAGGGGACATGTGTACCTTGGGCTTCTTCTCAGATTCTCTACTTCACCAACGGCCATCTGTATCCCACTGGCTCTAAAGCAGACCGGGCCAGCCTTCTCCACAACCCACCCACAGGAGGAGTGGCTACGCTGAGACTGACTGACCTCCGCCCCTCAGACACTGGAACCTACCTCTGCAATGTTAACAACCCACCAGATTTCTACACCAATGGGTTGGGCATAATCAACCTTACTGTACTGGGTAAGGCATGTCGAGGATGCACTAGGCACCCTCCAACTCTGGAAGTGTTCTCTACCCTGCCAAACTCCACCCACTCAGTCCTGATAGGCAGTCCTAACGTGCGGGCAGCTGTTGTGTTGGGTGGCTTAGTATCAAAGTGTGGAAAGAGGGGGCAGGGAGAGCCATATATGGGGTGCTGAGTCATATCATGTTCTACTAACACTATCATTCAGGAACTTCCCATTGGTAGCTCAGATTTGGATTCCGTCCCTCCCAAAGTCAGTGAGAAGGGAGAAGGGAAGTGGCCATTAGAGAAACAAAGCCTCTCTGTAACAGAGTACAACGTTGTGTTCAGAGCTTCCACCCCAGCACAAATCAGAGCCCGTTCAAAGCTGAACAAGAAGTTTTAAAAGCAGACAGGGGTGGTTATACAAAAGAGAGAAGGCCTAAGATGGTGGTGCGTGACCTGTGTATTCAAATATTGTAAGGGCCTTCATGTGGAGAAAAAAATAATTTCTCTTTATGGGCCCGGATAGCAAGAACTGGAACCAGCGACTTGGCATTATATTAACAACATGTTTGGGCTTAGCATGAGAAAGACCTTTCTATGACTCAGAATTCCCCGCAGTGGAAATCACTTCCGCCGTATGGACCACTATTTGGCATAGTTATTGAAATAGGAAATGTTGAACTCAACAGGTCTGGGGGTTAGAGGATCACAGAAGTTCTGTGGTTTTTGCAGTGCCCCCCAGTCACCCCATATGCAGCCGGAGTGGGCAAACCTCTGTGGGAGGTTCTGCTGCACTGAGATGCAGCTCTTCTCACGGAGCACCCAAACCAGTGTACAACTGGGTCCGTCTCGGATCTTCTCCTACACCTCCTCCTGGGAGCATGGTTCAAGGTGAGAGCGTGGGGCGGGGGGTGGGAGAGACAAGATTGGAGATGTAAGATCTGCTATCTAAGTCCCATATCCCACATCCATTTGTGACTACGGCTCTTTTCCTCCTTCTTTCTTGTATTGATGCCTTCTCGTCTGTCTTACTGCTAGTGCTTGGGAAACACTTCTCAAGCTAAATGTCCCCCTGATAGCCTGGAAGAGAGCACAGGGTAGGAAACAGGCTGACAGTTCCTACTTGTCTATTTATTGGAGGTTTCTTAAGGGTTACAAATTGCTTCCAAACTTCCTAGAGAGGCAACTATCCAGTAGGTTAGACTGGTTCAAATGTTTGATGGGTTTCTTTGGAGTCGTATATCTAGAAGCCTTAGCTTCATTTTGTTGGTTCCAGATGCCCTGTTCTGTAGCTACAGTCCCAGTAAACCCTTTCATCCAGCACATCTCCTCCCCTAGATCATTCCCTATGTGTTCTCTGCCTTCTGAGGCAGAAGTGGAGTTCAGAAAGTGGTTGGGTCGGCTTAGAGCTATTCTAGACGATGGATGCTTAGCTATTAAGACTTTTGCTGCTATCTAGGACCTGAGCTCATCGAATAAGTGCCCCTCCTTCTGTCATCACCTTCCTGTGCATGTAGCTCCTTCTCTGTGAAGGCAGCTGTGTGGAGAGGCAAGGGCACACAAGTTTCAGTGGCTTTGGGGTTCTTCTCTGAGTTTTCTCAAATTCCTCCTTTCTGAGCCAGGATTCCGACCAATCAAATGAGGTTGGACCTTTCTTGGTAGATTGTTTTGAGGACTAACCACATTAAGCTTTTGTGGCGGTGGTGTGGGCTGTGAGGTGAATGCACAGTAGCACACTTCCTTCTCGCTCTCTAGATGAAGTGTCTGGCCAGCTCATTCTCACCAATCTCTCCCTGACCTCCTCCGGCACCTATCAATGTGTGGCCAGCAACCAGATGGGCAGTGCCTCCTGTGAGCTGATCCTTTCTGTGACTGGTAGGGGATGCTGGGTAGAGGCCTGTCCAAAAGTCTGGGTTTGGGAAGACTACATAACCCTATCTGAAGGTGGGCATAAACTTCTGCAGCCCTGACGGTCCTGTCTCCCTAGACTCATCGGAAGGCCGAGTGGCTGGGACTCTGATTGGGGTGCTCCTGGGCGTGCTGCTGCTGTCAGTCACCGCATTCTGCCTGATCAGATTCCAGAAAGAGAGGAAAAAGGAGCCCAAGGAGACGTACGGGGGTAGCGACCTTCGGTGAGCAGGAGAGCTGGGAATGGTGCAGAGGGGAATGAAAGAGACCAGGCTCAACGTGGATGTCTTTGGCTTTCGAGCTGATACCATTAAAATCGCTTAAGGGGAAGGAGGGATGGGTTCATAGGCTGGCCTGGGGATGTCTCACTTTGCAGGCTGCCCTGATCCTCCTCTTCATCATGAAAAAAAAGTTTTTCTTGTTGTTCTTTATATATATATATTTTCTATACATATATCACTTAATGCATTCAGGTATATATGTCTTACATAGGGTAATGGGGAGAGGTGGATGGTGGATGCCAGGAGTTGCATTTGTCCTGAGATTAGTTATTTTGGGTGGAGCCAACACAAAAGGCCAAAGCTCTTTGTTATACACTTGACACTTGGTTGCAAGGCATAGGGATTGTTGTGATACTTCTCTCTTTCCTTAGACAGGGTCTCACTAGGTAGTCTTGAGTGGCCTGGAACTCTGTGTAGACTAGGCTGGCCTCCAACTCACAGAGATCCTGATGTTTCTACTTCCCAAGTACTAGGATTAAAGGTGTGCACCACCACACCTAACTGTCTCTTTTCCTATTTGTGTGTGTGTGTGTGCACACACACGCAGGAATGTACATGTGTTTGTGCAAATAAGTGTGCAAGCATATGGCCTTTCTAGGAAGGTTGTCCCCCTTAATTTTACACAGTTTAGCTATTAATATTGTGTGTTCATGCTGTACTTGTGGAAGCCAGAGGCCAACTTTTTGGAGTAATTTTTCACTGGTCTGGAGCTGGCCAAGTGGCCAAGTGAGCCCCAGAGATCCACCTGTCTCCACCTTTCCAGCTGTGGGCTTACAGGCCTGAGGATGCTGGGGTGGGGGTGGGGCGTATATTAAGGTCTTCATGCTTAAAAAGGAAGCCTTTCACCCACCAAGCCATGTCCTCAACTCTCAGGACAGTTCTTAAAATGTGGCCTCAGATGACCTAGGCAAACCCGAGAGGAACATGCTTAGACGCTCAGCCATTTTGTATGCCTCCCAAGGCAGCGTGTGTGTCGGTGGAGCCGGATTCTTCATTTTAAACAAAGTTCTGCAGATGATTCTAAGGATTTTAAATGTCTTCATTTTTAAACGTCCTGGGTTAGAGGATGCCAGTTACCTAAGGGATGCTTTTCGCCTCTGTATGACTTTGCTTGTATCCTTCAGGGAGGATGCCACCGCCCCTGGGGTTTCTGAACAAGCTTCTCTGCGGGCCAGTTATAGCAAAGGCCTCCTGGAGAAGTCCCCACCCGCCAGCACGGTGACGACCACCAAGTCCAAACTCTCTATGGTTGTCTGACTTCTGATCCCTGAGGGTAGTGAGGGGGAATGCTCATAATAAAAGCCTTTAGGTACCCTGGTACCTCCTTCTTTCTCGCCGCGTGGTGAATTCCTCTCTGTGTCCCAAAGAATACTATCAGCAAGGGAAGGAATGAATTTGAAATCCCAGAGATGGTGCCGCAAGTTCGGCTGGATCAAGGTTTCAACCTAAGTGTCTTTCCTACCCTTTTACCCCACGCCCACCCCCACCCTGCCTGTGAGTTTTGTTTTGATGAAATGAGATTTGTTCTGCCGCCCATTAGTGGCCTTCTGCAAACCCCTTTCCCCTCACTTCCCACTCCCTCTCGCCCCCCCCCCCCCCCCCTGCACCCTCTGAACACTTGGACATTCCTCTTTATTGTTCACATTCCAACCCAGTATGGTAACATGCACACGCAGAGATTAAAAACCTTCCAGCCACAACCCCAGGAGCCCAACGGGGGAAGGGCTATCGGGGGGCGGGGCCGCAGAAAACCCCTCCGGCCGAGCCTCCAGGCGCTCCGAGGCTTTTGCATAAACAATGGAGAGCGGGAGGGGCTGCTCTCAGGGTGCGCTTAGGAAGGAAAAGGGGTGACAGGTAGGTGTGGGATAGTACTTCCCTTCCCATCAGAGCAAGGGGCATCATCACCATAAAAACCCTCTTCCCCTCTTTCCTAGCCCCAGATTTAGGGGGTTGAGGCTAGGCTGGGGCGGATAGGGCACAAAGACGCGGGGCGCCCCCTTTCGTTGACCACAGAACGAAAGGATTTGGAGGTTGCTTTTTTTCTTTCTTTTTGAGAGTACTTGCGCGACGCATTGGGTGCCCTCTGCAGTACGCGCAGCGAAGCGCACCGAGGCTGCGGAGGCAGAGCTGCATGCTGGGCGCGGGGACCGGTGGGCGTGAAGCAAAAGGACAATTTTGCGAATATGAGGTTTAGAACGAGGGTGAGGAGGAAAGGCGAAAGGGGGCAACGTTAGACTGGAGAGCTAAAAAGAGCACGGACTTGGCTACGCCGCGACGAAGCCAGCCTGGGAGAGGGAGTCTATGAGACGCGGCGGGGTAGCGGGGAGGACTCCTGAAGCTGGCTAGTCGGTGGGAAGGAGGGGTCACAAACACAGTAGGGAAGTCTTGTCACTGCGAAGGGGACGCGGCATCCATCTCTCCTCTGGAACTGAGGAGAGAGAAAGTCACAGAATCTGCCCCCTGCCGGCTCCATCTCTTCCCCCTCCCTTTCGGGGAGTGCCACCCAGACCCCATCCCCGGCTCACTGAGCTGAAATGAGCTCCAGGGCAGGTACGTGAGTGAGCCTCCCTGTGCTTATGGCCCTTGGCCGAGTTTGGGCAGTCGAACGAGGGTGACTGAGTGCATGTGTTGGTCCAAGTGTGTCCGTGCCGCAGCCGCGGGCGCCTGGACATACCAGAGGGCCTGCAAAGTCATGTTCCTTGGCAGGGAGGGGCTGAGGGCTAGCAGAGAGAAGGACTCGGGGACTGGGTCTTTTCTCCCACCCAGCATTCTCCCCTACACACTCTGCCGCTTTGGAGTATTGGTTACCTTCTAACACGTTCAGTTCTTCGGTCCAAGGTGGGGGCAGAAGAGAGAGAGAGGGAGAAAGAGGTGAGCTCTTGGCTTGTCAGCATCGTTGGCCTTCTCCCGTCCACTTGTTTCGGGGTCCTAAGTCCCCACCCTTGACTCTCTCCACGTCCTTCTCCACTCCCAGCCCAGCCTTAGACTTCCCCAGCTTTTCCCAAACATGCCTGGAAAACGAGAGCCTCAGCAATGCGCGCCAGCCAGCCTCACCTGGCTTAGTCTCCGCTGGGGCCGCCGCCTGCGCCTCCCCGGGCGCCCCCAGCTCCGCCCGGTCCCCCCGGGCCCGGACCCTTCCGGCCGCACTCTCCGCTCTTTATCTTCTTCCTCGCCATGTGGCCCCGGAAACTCGCCTGGATTTTGGCTGCAGCGGCGTTGGCTCCCGGATCATCCAGGGGGATGTCTAGAATGTCGTCGTCAGGCTTGGAGCAGGCGCTCTCCTGAGAATCGGGCAGGGTTGTTTTTTTGTTTTGTTTTGTTTTGTTTTGTTTTTTTTTTTGGGGGGGGAGTGGGGTGAGGGAGTGGGTGATAAAGTCCAGACTCCGACGGGATCGGGTGGGACAGTGCCCTGTAGGATTGCGAGGACCTCGAGGGCGGTGGGAGGAGTAGAGAGGGAAGCCTTGTGGGGTGGGCGCACCTCCTAGGCAGCAGCCATCAAGAAAGTCCTGAGCCAGGCAGACACAGGCAGAAGTGCATGGGAGGATGGAAAAAAGAAAGTCAGCTAGCCCCATTGAAATTAGCCTTTAGTTTCAGGGAGCTGTCCAGTTGAGTTTGGGTGAAAACTGAGTCTGAAAGAGCAGAAAAAAGGCAGCAGGTGCTCCTGAAAGAGGCCACTCTTTGCTCCCAGAAGATGCCACCACCTGAGCAGGGCCCTTCTGTGTACAGGATTCCCCAGAGAGTGGACACAAATATCTCAACAGAGCCATTTTCCCCCGAGTAGAACTGCCCCAGAGTTCAAGGCTGGAATTCCGGAGAAGATGGGCCTACCACTCCCGGAGGCAGCCAGGGGCCCAGACACTGGTCCCTTTGGGCTTGCTATCTCCTACTGTCTTCCAGGTTGGACTCAAACACCCAAAAGAGGTAAAACAACAATAACTGAAAAAGAAACAGAAGGCAAGAGGTCTTTCCCTCAGTGTACTCAGGAGAAGAAGGGGATTAGGCCAACAGCTGCCATTTAAGCCCTTACATCGTCCCGGGTACAAGAGCTGTGTTGCCCAAGTGTTTTAGTTCTTCCTCAGCAACAAGGCTGTGACACGCTTTCATTCTTACTCGAGTTTACCAGGATAAAACTGATGATTAAGAATGTCAAAAACAGGGGGCTGGAGAGATGGCTCAGAGGTTAAGAGCGCTGACTGCTCTTCTAGAGGTCCTGAGTTCAATTCCCAGCAACCACATGGTGGCTCACAACCATCTGCTAAAGGAATCTGATTTCCTCTTCTGGTGTGCATGAGAACAGAGTGTTCCTACACATTAAATAAATAAATAAATATTAAAAAAAAGAATGTCAAAAACAAAATAAACAACAACAACAACAAAACCTACCTGGGCTCCCAGACATTACTGGTAGCTGGTAGAGTTGAACCTTGTATGTCAAGTTCTAGATTCAATTTAATGCCTAAGAAAGGAAATGCAACCAGCCGGCCTGGTTAGCTGTAACTGTGTGGTCTTGGAAAGTTATCTGAGTTTTTCCAGTCTTAGCTCTTCCATTTGAAAAAAAAATTAGGATGATAATATTTACCTCTACTGGTTCTGGAGAAGAGTAAATTGTGAAAGCTTCTGGCATAATCTAGTTGATCAGCAAACAGCAGCTAGGCTATAATTGCCTTGTAGAACAATAGGGTGACATAAAATGATCAATTCTGTAAGCCAAAAGTGGTCCTATGACAACAATCACAATCTTACATAGTTTGTCATAATATGTCATGTGCCGTGCAATGGGTCGGTGAATGATACATTACGTATGTGGCGGCAGTCTTCTGTGATTGTATCAATTATCGATGCTGTAGACATCTTAGTTTTGTAAACATACCCTCGTAATGTGTGAACCATTATGAAGTTGGCTAATGACGCATTTCTCAGAACATAGTCTCATCAAGGAATGTGTAAGATATAATCAAAGCCATCTTTTTTCCCCAGTATTTCTTCCCTTCCCTTTTTTTTCATTTACTCTTACTCATGCTGTTTCCCAGAGTGCTGGGATCAAATCTAGGGCCTTGTGCATGATAGACAAATGGTCTGCCATTGAGCTACACCCCTAGACAGAAGGCTATGTGTACTCCAGGCAAGCCTTGGACGCATGATCTTATTGCCTACAGAGTGTTGCAGACATATTTTCATATCCAGTTTCTGTTCCTGTCCCCCTGCTCTAGGTCACAGTAAAAAGGATTAGGGCCACATGTGGTGGTAGACTTCTGTATTTTCAGTCTGATGGAGTTATGGGGCCAGAGGAAGGGAGATAGGAGTTTGAGGCCACCCTGGGCCACATGATATCCTCTTTCAAACACACACACACACACACACACACACACACACACACTACAAACAAAACAAGAATAAAGAAAGGATTCGGAAGTTGATGGTATCAATTTGAGAGGCTTAACACCGGAGCATCAGTAAGCGCTGGGGAAGGGATGTTGCTATGAAATCAGAAGGACATTTTCTCTTGATCTGCCTATGGCTTCTGGGATTTTGTCCTTATTTCTCCGCCAAGAATGCTCACTGCTTTCACTCCCCCCCCCCCCCCATGTCAGGCCAAGATCTCACATTGTGAGCTAGCTTGGCTTCTGCCTCATCTTGGCCATCAGCTCTCTGTTGTCAGAAATGAGCAGAGTGTGAGTGAGGATTTAGAGTCATCTGTCTCTGATAGGTTTGCCCTTAGGGGTATAGTTTAAAATTTGAGACAAGGTCTCATCATGTAGCTCTGGGTGACACTGAACTTGCTGTATAGTCCAGGCTAGTCATGAACTTCCCATAGTTCTCCTGCCTCTGTCACCTGTGTGTTGGGACTACAGGTGTGGACTACCATGCCCAGCCTGTAAGCAAAACTTTCTACTCCAGAAGCCTAAGGCCGAGTTTACAAACGACTCCCCCTCAGCATGTTTCCCCAGCTGTCTTCATTTCCTGGGCCTCAGAGTTCCTCAATTTGTGCTCAAGATGCTTCTCGATCGATTTAAACACATTTTCAAGGAGTTGCCAAGAGGCTGGGATGAGCTTAGATGGATGGGCCTAAACCTCCGTGTTTTCGTCTTTCTTAGCCGTAGGGCTCTCTCTGACATCTTATTCTTTACATAAAATTCAAATCAACCCCTTTGGGTTTTCTGATTCTTCAAATGCAAGTCTTTCTTGGTTTATTTTCAGGGAGTAGGCTTTTTGAAAGGAGGCAGCCGGCATAAAAAAAAAAAAAACAAAAAAAAAAAACCAAACAAACAAACAAAAAAAACCAAGATCTATCCAGATCCTCTTTCCTTGGTCTTGGCAGTGGTTAAGAGGCTGTGTGGAGGTT